TGAAGTTCAAAAATTAGCTGCAAATTTCTCAAAAAGTAGGAGAAAGATTACGTAGTAAAAGATTGAATTAGAAGCCGAGAGGGTATGGCGTACATCGAGCACCTCCAATCATGAAAATGCTTTCAGTTGGAAGCGCTTGAAAAGGTCAACAAAAATTTGGTATATGGGCATGTGGCTGTATTGAGCACAGCGTACCATGGGCCACATTAATGGGGCTATGAACTTGAATGAATACTTGTTAAACTTGTGTCATTATTTTTGTCATACCCGTGCTTGAAACACGGTGGCAGCGGGGTATAGCATCATGAACACTAATGGAAGCTTCTGTAACTAATGTTTTTCTGCCGTTGACAACATTTCTGGCCTAAATGGCACAATATTTGACTGTTTTCTGTCAAGCATGTGACTGATTTCACTGTATTGTGTTACATGTACTTTACACATGGACATACATAAGTGTGGCTATATCACTTTTATGCGACTTCTGCCAAGTCCGCTATAATAATTTCCATCTCTCTCTCATAAACACATTGACGAAAGGACGGTACAACTGTTTTGCTGATACATCTACTGTGAGTACTGTTGGCTACACCATAAACTGAAATCTGCAGTCAAAATGCCAAATACTCCCGGAGCCACGGTGGCTCAAGCTGCTTCCAGGTCCAACAATGTGGAGCAGTACAAACAGCCATGCATCAATCCACCGTCACAATTTAATGCAAGAGCTAAGGATGCAGCCGAAGGGTGGAAGATGTGGCGTCAAATGTTGGACAACTACTGTCTCACAAACCTGTCAAGCCAGACCAAGGCTTACCAGACTGCACTGTTGCTCCATAGCATTGGCATGGAAGGTGTATGCGTATACAACAGCATGAAATTTGATGATCCTCTGGACAATCAGAAATGGTCAAAGATTCTCGAGAAATTTGACTCACATTTTCTGGGCCAATATCAGAAATTTTTAGAATGATTCAAGTTAAACCATCCTAATCAAGAGGAAGGTGAGCCCATTGAGCAATACATTTCTACACTCTGCAACATGAGCAAAACATGTGGCCTCTGTGAATGTATGAAGGACAAACTCCTGATGGACCGCCTATTGATGGGCATACGTGATGATAAAATGAGAGAGAAGATGATGGCACCTTATGATCTCACTTTGACCAAGGCAATTGACGTCTGCAAAGCAGTTGAGGTGGCAACCTTGCAGATGAACGCCATGAAGACAGAAGAAACTGTACACAAAGTGAAACCGAAGAAATCTGACAAAAAGCCACAAAAGTCAAAGCAACGCCCCCCTCGCAAAGCTCCAGTCATTGAAAGTGGGAAACCATCCACTAGATGTTGCAAGTTCTGTTATGCAAACCACGCTATGAAGAAAGAGCTTTGTCCAGCCTGGGGGCCGTACCTGTGATACTTGCGGTGTAAAAACCACTTCAAGAAATCCAGAGTGTGCAAGAATCACCGTGTTCATGCAGTTGAAGAAGACGGCTACACTTCTTTGTCAGCAGAGAGTGTGAGCTGTGTCACAGCGGAAATTAACTCAGTGACAGGAGATAACAAGCCAGTGTACTGCACCATGGAAATCAAAGATGAGCCAGTGCGGTTTAAAATAGACTTTGATGCAACTATCAACTTGATTCCTAAGAAATATGTCACTGATATCCGTCTGGCCAAAATCGAGCTCAAAATTTGGAACAAGTCCTGTACGAGTGCTGTTGGCAGAAGCACTGTCAAGCTTAGTAACCCAGCGACACAGAAAAAGTACAAAGTCAAGTTCATGATTGTGGACGAGGACCTCACACCTCTCATTGGTCGGAAAGCTGCTGAACAGATGGGATTCATCACCATCAACTGCGACAAGTTCTCTTAAGTCCATCATGTTACTCCGACTCATGCTGACTTTATTAGTGAGTACCCTGATGTGTTTGATGAATCTGTCACTGGCACTCTGCCTAGCCAAAGTGTGCACCTTGCTGTTAACCCAAATGCCAAACCTGTAATATGTTCCGCACGAACAGTTCCTGAGTCACTCAAACCTGCTGTGAAAGCCAAGCTTGAGAAATTGACACACCCGGATGTGACAGCAGAAGTTGATGAGCCCATCAAATGGGTCAGTCATATGTCTGTAGCCAACAAAAATCCGGTTCTGCCAGAATCTGCATCAATCCTGGCCCCCTGAATAAATACCTCATGAGGGAGCACCACACTCTTCCAGTACTGAATGACATCTTGCCAGAGCTGAACAAAGCCACTCACTTCTCAATCTGTGATCTCACAGATGGCTACCTGCACTGTGAGCTTGAAGACAAGTACAGTTAACTCACTAGTTTTGCCACACCATGTGGCAGATTCCGATGGAAACGCTTACCATTTGGCTTGAAGGTGAGCAGCAAGATTTTCCAGAAGTGATTACATCAAGCCCCAGACAGTCTTGAGGGTATCCCCTGCATAGCAGATGGCGTCATTGTGTGGGGCAGAGGTCTGAAGGAACACGCTCATCGTGTTCGCAAACTGCTGCAAAGATGGAAGGGAGAAGTCTCACTTCACAGTACGTGAGGTACACTTCCTTGGCCACATAGTCTCACAAGATGGCCTAAAAGCTGATCCTGCCAAGATAGAGAGTGTACTCAACATAAAGCCACCAACAAGCAAAGACAATGTTGACAAACTGAGAGGCATGGTAAAGTACCTGTCAAAATTCCTCCCAGATTTGTCACAAGTGATGGAGCCCACAAATGCTCTCACCCGTACGGGAGTTGAGTGGTCATGGAATACGTGGAAGATCAGGCACGGATCTGCCCGGGTTGCTAACGGCTCTTTTGTTTGGCAGGGAGTAGGGTGCCCTCCATGATTCCGCGAAATGTTGCATCCTAGAATGCTTGGTCAATTTGGGAATGGCACCTTAAACAATACTTTTCTGTCTTATTCTTCTTGTTCACATATCTACTGAACTAGACAACTTTCTCAATTTTTTGCACGACCTTTATTAGGCAGTGTAAATAGTCACACTTTGTGGAATATTTGTGGTATCATGACGATGTCATAAAAATAAGGAACTTTTATCATTTTCAAGATTATCTGATCGTGTTGAAATGCCAAGGGAAGATATGGTCTCCATAACAAATAACTCTTATGATTTAGTTTATTGTTATTTCCTTTCATTTGTAATTTTGGTTACCGATCCAAATCAAACTTAGTCGAAACTTCACAGGAGTAAAGTCCATCAAGACAAAAGTCCCTTACAAGCCAGTGTACTGCACCACGGAAATCAAATGTTAGCCAGTGCGGTTTCAAATAGACTATGATGCAATTATCAACTTGATTCCTAAGAAATACGTCGCTAATATCCGCCTGGCCGAAATCGAGCTCAAAATTTGGTCCATTGAGACAATAGTCCCTTACAAAGACATATCAAGTAATTTAATACAGATTTATACATTTTTAACTGGCTGTAATTAATATTTAATCTATTCATTATTCCTTGTGGCAAACCAAGGCACATGGAATTTTACAAAGTGGAAAGCCTTGCCTTCCCAGCAAAACATTTAAATTTAACGTCAGGTTAAATTTGACTGCATATCCATGTAGGAATGTTGTTTTTGTTATTATGAGAAATTCAATTTTCAGGTATTAACAAATTTCAAACTGTTTTCTTTTCTTTGGCAAATAATACTCTGGATCAGCAGTGGTACATGTAATAATGGCCATTTCAGTGTGATGATGATCAGCTTCGTGCAATTTTAATACTCTCATTGTGTAAATTGGCCTGTGAACACAAACAGGAGAAATGCCCCAAAATGGCGACTTAACAAAGCCTAAATCCAAACTGTGCAGGATTTTGGCTGAAGTATACAGACAGGTATTTACAAATGGGAATAAATTTGTGTTTGCTTGGTCTTGAAGGGAACATGTAATAGAACCCTTTAATAAAAATCATTTAAATTGCACCATTGTGTTTTAATTAATCTTCTTTTCGGCTTTTGTTTTCCTATCTTTGTATTTTGGGGCCTTTTGTTTTGTGCTAATATGAATTTGCATATTCATGAGCAAAACTGTGAGGCACTGAACTTTAATGTTGATTTGTGCACAAAAATTCTTTTTTTTCTGTGCTTTGCTATGAAAGATTTCCATTTCCTTTGGCAGTTTTTTGTTGTATATGTATATGGCAATAACCCAGCGAAAACTCAGAAAAGTTTTCAAAGGGCAAGCTTGGGGTTCAAAATGTAAACATGAAAACATGCAACTGAACAGTTACTTCCTGGATTTAAATCACACTAACAGTGCCTTCACTTGTCTGGAAAAGCTCAGTCTATTTGGGACATTTAAAATATGTAAATTTCACTCTAAAAAGATTTCAGACAGTTTTCATACATTAAAGAGCTTTAATACACGCACAAAAGGAATTGTAAGAAAATTTCATTGCACTGTTCCTTTTAACAAGTATTTTAAGAACTGAGCAAAGCCAAAATCACTACTTCAAATAATTCTTTATTCCCTCACATCTGCGAAGCAATACCTTATTTTGATTCAAATTTGTGGACTTGTTTGTATGGTGTAAGAAAACACATATAAAATGTTATGGACACTACATAAAACTGACAGATATATGTTTACAAGTACCAAACAAAACTACAATTTTCTTCTAAAATTGGGGAGGTTTCACCTATTAACATAAACATGAAATATCTTAGTATTGATGAAAAATGCAAATTTCATTACTGCCATCACTGAATGTAGTTTGACTTGAAATATTATGGCATATGATAAACCACCGAACAAATTGTGAAAATGATAAAAATGTGAAGAAAACTGGTAAATCTAATTTGAAATTTTGATGGTCGTGTCCCCTTTGTCATTGAACTGCCCCTTATGAATCAATTCACAATACTGCAAGCAGTCAGAAAAACATTAACAGCATATAAATTTCAGAAAGAAATATGAACATTTTGGCTTTTACCTTATTATGCATTTTATGTTTTGCACATGTGACTACTTACCTGATAGTATGAGAATAAAACTTCAGCAGGTTTGCAAGTCTGTAGAGAAGCACTGGCCCAGGTTCAGCCACAATAACTTGCTCCACTCGAACCTACATGTGTATTAGTAATATCATTCTCTCATTAAATTCAATGAATTGTGCACAAGAAGAAATATTCGGCAGATTTTTAAAGATCAATCACATTGCTTTGACATAAAATGGCTGTTTAACAGGGAATTGGTCATTGTTACCCATATCTTGATCAACGTGGCAGCATCTCTTTGCATTAATAACAAATGAATCGTCATTTTGAGAGTTTAGTTCTACCGCGAGAATGCTCAGAGAAAAAAGTGTTGATGAGGGCGGCAAACAAATGTAGCAATTTGATGACGTCACAATACGGCTCTCGTTCCCCCAGAGGGTTCATAGCACAAGAATGAAGAAAAAAACGGGTAGAGAAAGTTACATGTCATTCTTGGCAAGTGATCATGGCCATCTGCCTGAAATTCATCTAGACCTTATTCCAGTTCAAATTGGGACAATTGAACTTTATCATACGATCCAGTGTTGATCAACATTATCGATGCAATAGCAATTCCAAATCCCTCTCACTGTCTGACCTCTTTAAATTCACAATTAACTGCGAGCAAGCACAGTGCTGTAGTGTGACGTCATCAAAACAGGCTTCTATCGGATGCTCCAGACGACTTTCATTTTCAGTTTGCCTGATATGAAGGAGGACTTCGAACTCATGCTTTTGACATCAGAAGCAATCTTTATTTAGGTTTCACCTACGAGTACTAGATTGATTTAAATATAAATAAATTTCATAGAAATTGAAATTGTGAATTACCAATGTGACTGATCTTTAAAGAAAAGCTAGTTACAGACAAAACAAGGACACAACATAAATTTTGTTGAGATTCCTGTCAGTAGTTTCTCTTACTTAAATAACCAGGTACACGTCAACAAATCCAACGTTGTGGTAAGGAAACTGAATGTGAAGATTTAGGGCTACTCTTAGAGGTCTGTCAAGGGACACAAAATTTCAACAAGAATGATTTGTGAACATGTAGGCTCTGCCAAGTCCATGCTTTTAATTTGTGATCACAAAAACCATCTCCCTTATTGTTTCTATTGTTTTAACAATACTGACCTTGCCCATGAGTTGATAACAAACCATACCTATTGTTAAAAACAATAAACACTTTACCCTTTGATTTCTTAAGTCAAAATCAATAGGCTTCTGGAAGATACAAAGACCAATGAATGAACCATGTTGAAGTTGGTATGTCTAGTTTTTCTTGAGGTCTGGTATTGTTGCTATTGCTTTTGTTATTGTTTTAGCCATAATGACCTTGTCCTTTGTTCTGAAATTAATCAGCTTCTGGAGGACATAGATCCGACCAACATGTTGAGTTTGAAGACGATATATCATGTCCTTCTCAAGCTTGGGTGGGACAGGCAAACAAATACTTGTTCTGCAGTGGGGACCAGAAGTGTTGAAACAGATGTTTAAACCAGAAATGTCCAAGGACAAGTTTTATCCTTGCAACTTGGTCTCAAATTTCCTAATGAAGGAAACTGTCCCTTGAACACACAATCAGCCTGGGTATGCACACGCGTGCATAAACATCTTCAAATGCGCATATCCCAGTGTCCTCTTTTTGTTACACATCACCAGCAGCTAGGGCATTCAAAGTGGGCCACTGTAATACAGAAATTTCTTGGAATACAAACGAAAAATCACATGAAATATCCCAATTTCAAAGATCAAACGCTTTTTACCAATCCAAAAAGATGGTGTCAATGCGAGGGGGATTCACAGCGTCCAAAGTAACAGCCAATGATGATATAAGTAGTGAGTTGGGTAACGCAAGACCTTTTAGGGAGGAAGCCATGCTGGCAGTCAGAGACAATACCGCTCCTGTACATGTGTTTAACAAGATGGCGCACAATGAATTTTTCCAGGCATTTACTGACCATCGAGCAAAGTGAAATGGGTCTGTAGTTGGCAGTGTTATTAGGGTCACCGGATTTATGTATGGGGACGACACTGGCAAATTTTCATTCAGTCGGGACCTTACCAGTGTTTAGGGACAAATTAAAAATCAAATTTAAAGGATAAGCAAGACTGTTAGCGGCGATTTTAAGTAACATGGGAGAAATATCGTCGGGACCTGGTAATTTGTAGGCTTGAAGAGTGTTCAGTAATTTCTTGACCTCAAAATGTTTGGTCTGAATACTGGACAGGCAGAATTTATTACAAGCATGATTAAAAGTAATACTACAGGATAGGTCATTATCTTTGGTAAAATTAATGTGGAACTTAGCACTAAATTCATTAGCGATGACCCTAGGATCACTAGTGATATAGTGAGGAGGCTAGAACTGGAGGTTTTCTTACGGTTAGAACTAACAAAAGACCAAAATTGCTTAGCATTAGCTTTGCAATTTAGAGCTAGGTCCTGAATGTAGTTATTATTGAATTTATTAGTGAGATGTTTCACTTGGTTATGTAAAGATCTGTATTTGGCCCAAAGATGAGCATTACCGCCACATCGCACAGCAGCTTTAAAGGCCCTAGGTTTTTTCCAAGCCAAGGTGACTATTTCATTAGAAATCCAAGGCCATCTTCTGTTCCCTCTTCCTCTAGCTACTGGAACAGTATCTTGAACAGCCGCAAACAAAAGATCCTTGAAATTATCCCGAACTTGATCAATGTCCAGCCCAGGTGACAAGTAAAAGTCCCAATTGATATGAGCGAGGCTGTCACAAAGAGCAGTCTCATCTGCTTTAATGTACTGGTAGAATGTGCGGTTAAACAGCGGTGGTCAGCTGGAAAGAGACACCATTGTGATCACTCAAGCCTAACCCAGGTATTATGGAAATATTGTCTACCAGATAAGGTCTATTACAGAAGACCAGATGTAGTATGGACCCCTGAAATAAATTGTCAGAGGATTTACGAGTAACCTGGCAGACCAATTGATGAAGTTAAGAGTGTCCGACGCCACAGTAAGCTGTTCATGAAGGCTGGCAGTACTGGATGATGTGTGATGGATAAAATTCACGTTAAAATCACCCAGACCAACAATAACCAAGTAATTATAGGAATGTGTGAGAACCAGGTCTACAACTGATTGGTAATAAAAAAAATTGGCACAGCTATTAGGTGGCCTATACAAGCAACCAAAAAGGATTTTATCATGGTCAGATTCTATTTCCAAACAGAGAAGTTCCAGTTCTTCATGTTCAAAATCACAGACACGTGCAGGGTGAAGGTGATTGGCAGCGGCGATAATGACACCGCCAACGTGCCTATTACGATCCATATGGTAGATACCGTAGTTACGGTTCGGTAAGATTCCACCGTCGTACACAGGTCCATCAAGCCAAGTCTCTGTGACGAAAGCTATGTCAGGGTTATTCAGCTCTACCTCGGACTAGAAGAGTTGTGGTTTGTTGATTAGACTCCGGGCGTTGAACAAGATTCCCCCAACTCTCTTTCCAGGCTTGGACAGGCTAGTGTGAGTGCAAGTTAGGGAGGATGCAGTGCAGGACAAATTCACTGACGAAGTTGAAACATCCAAGTCATCAAGTGACGAATCTGGTGAACAGGGCAGAGTGGGGAGCTTGTGTAGAAGACATTTTCTGCAGAGCCATTGGTTGTTGGAAACAGACAATTGTTGGTAATCCTTGATGCTAACTGAGGCACATCTGGTATGAGTCCAAAGGTCACATACATCACAACATATGCCCCGTTGGATGGATTTCACTGCTTTCTCAAAGAGAGTGTAGGGGAACTTTGTAGGGCCGGGGTTAAGCTCAACAAAACCGGATAGGCTGACAATGTGCGGCAGATGGAACAAAGCTTAATAGTTTGGGTAGTAAGTTACAGGCCCTCTGCTGTAAGTAGATTTAACACTTACGTGTTCTTTAGATCAAAGGAAGCAACATGGTAGGAAAAACTCGAAATAAAAATGTTTTTTATTTTCTACCTGTGGGTTTTTGTCACTTAGTGAAAACACTGACAAATTAATCAAAAATCCTGTGATGTGTTTTGAATAATAAAATTCACTGTCATATGAAAAAATGTTAACGTGCATGTGATACTAAAAAGTAAATACATGTGAAAGCCGGCATTCAGGTATTTTTTAAAGGCCTTCGATTGCCATGGATGACGACGAAAGCAAAACAGCATGCACATGTAGGCCTGTGTGTACCTGCAAGCCACCTTGTGGCATGGCCGCCCGCGTGAGAGATGGTCGTAGAAGCAGCATCATGTCATGAAGGAATACATGTATTGCTATTGGATAGCTGTGTCTGGCAAAATGTACGTCATGAAAACGCACAGTCTTATTGGTGGACAAGCTAGATCTTTTCACAGCAATATGAATAATTCAGTGTTGGGCGATAAGTAGGGTTCTTGAGATGTGACAGTAGTCAAGTGAACTTGTTTGGAAGTATTTTTATCAGAATTGGAAGGGAATTTTAGTTTCAATGTTTGTGTAATCAATGTAAAAAATTGTTGATTTCTTAATCGTGCTTCATGTTTGTCATGAATACAGGAAACTGGCGAATGATGTCTGTGCTGTGTCTTGCAAAATGTACGCCATGAAAATGCACAGTCTCATTGGTGGATGATGCACTGCGCACATATTTCACCAACTCGTTATAAATGGGTCAGTTCATATTCAGCGGAAAAGAACACGTACGCAAAATTTAGAGGTCAGAAATCGCAAAAGCCGAACTCACTTCATCTCTGGTGAAATGTCTCTATAAATTTTTCATGACGTCGTATTTGCTTTATTTTTGCATTCGCCTGAAGTATGGACCAGCCTTTACACTTTTATGGGCGTATATTAAATTTGCTCTTTCCTATTTCCCTTCACCAAAAATGTACGCAGTGAAGAAGGCAGGTAAGCCTAGGGAGGCTGGGTATACCTTCGAGTCACCATCTCCAGTGAAGATTTGCCGGATGATCCTAGAAGCAGACTCAAGTCTGGTCCTGGTACCCGCTGTGGTGGTCCCACACCGCTGCAGCTGGTGCGAGTGGCTCACTATAAGGCAGCGCTGTGCGCAGCTTCCCACTTTTCCCAGTGGCTTTT